CCAGGATAAGTCATGCACTCGTTTGCATTCAGATTCGTGGTCATTTATGCCGGGCCTCTTCAGTCCGATACAAGCTGGCCATTAGAGGGCTATATTGTTTGAAAGGCTTCCTGGTTTGGAATTTGCTCAGTACTAGGCACCTGCTGTAGGGCTAAAGTCCACTGTCAGCACACGGTACGTTACGGGTTTTAGTTCCAAACTGAGTCCCTTTCAAACCAGACGAGCCTTTCTCTGAGTAGTCGGTATGTTGTTACCGAACTTGTTCGAAGTACAATGTTGTTCGCCACGAAGATGAGGCATGTCAGTGAGCTGGGTTTGGCGCGTCGCCAAGCCCATTTTCCACCAGCTGTAGAAGTGCTTGAGAGGCAACCAGTGGGGAACCGCTGATACAAACGATATGACACAGCCTTGTCTCTTGCAGAAAAAAAGGAAATAGCAGGCTAGCGCTATGCCAAGCCATACTCCTCTGAAACGCCCCCTATTCGCTGCTGGAAAGAGACTACACAATTTTTTCGCTTCTGTATTGACTCAAGCTCCTTGAGATGAATGCGTTGAATGAAGGTGTTATTTTGATAACCACTTTTCACACATTTCCGCTAAAGCTTGCAGTGTTACGGTGAGCTGAAAACCTCACCCAGTCCCGGCTCCAGCTAAAATGGATAGTACTGGTTCTTGTGAGAAGAGTCATCCAGCGTCGAAGTTGCTACTCCATTTTAGTGATTTTCTTGTGCGCTGTATCGATAGATTCCTTAGAAAGAATGTTTTCTTTTCTCGATGAATACTTTCCTTTGCAGATACAGTAATGGTTGTGGCATCGGTTACCGCTACAGCCCGGTTAAAGAAGGACTATGCAAGGCTGTTGAAGGAACCGGTGCCATACGTACGTGCAGCACCATTACAGGAAAATATCCTTGAATGGCATTACATAATATATGGTGCGCCGAATACTCCGTACGACGGTAAGTATTCTTGCCATGGTGTCCTATTTTTTTACTAGTTACTATGATATTCCATGAGAAACGGTAGTGGTCGATGATGTTCCTCCAGAGATGAGTCTTTTTGAACTTGGTTTCCTCATCATCTGGAATTGTATCGATTTCTGTGTTGAAACGGCATCTGTCCTTTGTAGGACCCTGACAGCTTTGTCTGTCGGTATGGGGTGTTGCATAAAGGCCAGGGCACGTTATGCCGTTGGGAAAATTCCTCCAATACCTATTACAACCCCTCTCCCTCATTCTCCATCCACCTTCCTCAATTCTCCCTGAACTTGTGCCATTTTCGTTTGTTCCGAAGAAGTTCCCCTCTCCCCACCCCATCAACAAAAAACTGCTGTGAAGCAGAACATTTTCTTCCAATGCGTGCATGACCCCCCCCCTCGACTCCCCTCCATCGCCGGGGATCCTTAACGTACGACGTGCCCTGCTCCCAACCGACAACCTCTAACGGCTAGGATATGAGCCATATATGCAACGTGGGGTTCTAGCGTTGTTATGGGGCTCATCGGTGGCACCATGGGATCCTCTACTTCGTACCTTTCGAGAAGACGCCGCTTGCAGACTCTGGTAGTCCGCGCTTCACTTAGGGAGGAAAAAAATTATTGTAAAAACTATTCCAGTGCACGGATTGGGAAAGGGACACCTCATCGGCGGATGATTCCAACTACTGTAGCCCTCAAAACTCAATGTGCTTCAAAGGGCAGCGAGATCGTTTATAGTTTTGACATATTCAAAGCGTTTCTTAGTGCGTTCTAGATTCTATGTACAGAGAATGGAATATGAAAAATGTGGCAAGAAAGGTTAACTAGCTGTAGAGAAAAAAAAATGGGAACTAGTATCTAATTTTGGAGTTCATGTTTGAAGTTCTGATTCCTGGTATCCTTTTATATCTTTCGTTTGCTCTCCTTGGTCAGACTGCAGTGATTGCGAAAATATGTCAGATCGCACATTGGAGCTTTTAAGAGCAAGGGTGCTATGTTATGGACAAGCTTCCCCCACCTGAGCTTGGGCTCTGAGCTTATCCATTTTTCCTTGTGAAGAATTGTTCACCAAACCAAAAACCTTCTTTCGTTTTCAACTGTAGTCTTTCTATGAATGCTTTGTTTTCAGGGGGTGTCTATCACGGTAAATTAGTCTTCCCAAGTGATTTTCCCTTCAAGCCGCCATCAATTTATATGATAACGCCAAGCGGTCGTTTCCAAGTAAACACCAGATTATGTTTATCGATTTCTGATTTTCATCCAGACACATGGAATCCGGCATGGACGGTAAGAGCCCTTATCCTTACATCTTTTTTTCACTTGTTTCTATTGATTCAGTGTTACAGGTGTCAACAATTATTACTGGTCTTCTATCTTTTATGAATGATACGGCGCCCACACTAGGTAGCATTACGTCATCTGATGCAGAGAAGAAAATATTGGCACGACGTAGTAAGGCTTTTAATTTGAAGGTAAGTTGACTTATTCGTTGTAAGAATTGCATAGACCTTAAAGTCTGTGTTGTCGGAAAATTCCGGCAACGTGACTTAGATACCCGGGTGGGCGTGGCCACAGGGGCAAGGCTTCGAAATGGACCGGTGTTTCCCAAATTTGTGCTGCAATAGATATTAGACGGGAGCACCGTTTACAAGGTAAACGTTCCTATTGTCTTCAAGGTGTGCTTAATGTTGATTTCATGATCATACGTAAGACCTGATAACCACTTTTTCGCCTCTGCCTAATGTATACCTTTGCAAAAAGCATAAATTCTTCCCCGAACTCTATATCAAGCAATTAAACACACCAGCTTTTAATAAGCAGAAATTACGCTTTAGCTATGAAGAAGCTGAAGCTAATATATCCGCCACGTCAAGCCTCCCATTTTGGCCACAGCTCACCGGATGTCTAAGTACACGCACCGGAAAATTCCGCTTTTTTGGTTCGGGTGATCTACTCCGATAGCGGTGACTCCGCGAGACTAGGGCGGTGACTAGTATCGAGTGCGCGCTATTTGCGCGAGGATTGAATTTGTTTAACATGGAAGCACTGCGTTATGTTAAATCACTGTCTAATTTTGCTTGTTGGTTGTTGTGCATCAAGGTGAATCTTCTAACAGGCAACAGATGTTTGTTGACTAGGTAATTATATTTATAAGGAAATGGTTGAATACACTAGTTTTATGGAATAACCCTCTTTTGAGTTATTATAACAGTTTTCCTCAACACTAAGAAATAGAGTGGCTTGAGTGTACCTGTTTTCCAGCACAGACCTCTCCTATCCTATCTGTAAGATATCACGTTCATCACTCTTTCGTAAATTGCAGGATCGCGTGTTTTGTGAATTATTCCCTGACGTAGCCGAAGAAATTAGGAAGAGTCTAAGTGAAGCTAATACTGCTGAAGAAGCGACGTTAAGAGAAGAGGAGGAACGATTGAGAAGGTTAGTACTTTTCCACTTGAAAAGTTTAACGATCCATTTCCCTGTTCAGATTTGAGTTGTTGCTATGTCAAGCTTTTCAGATCTTCTTTGAGCCGGTCATAATTTTATTTGTCTTTTTCAAGTAAAATATTTCTCACTACTTCTGATAAAAATCTGCGAATTGGCTCTTCGTCCTCTTCTTCACTGTTCTATTTTCTTGGACACTAATCCTCAAAAGTGGCACAATCCAATATAATGTTTTTTTGTTGTTTTCTAACTTGGATTCCTGCGGGGCATCACTATGAAGAGGTGTCTTCAGTAAGAGGGGGTGGGGTGGTGGGAGGGTACGCAAAAAAAACTGAAGACTACGGGAAAGTATGGGATGGAATGTTAGAGATCGCCCTGTTCGCTGGACGCCATCTTGAAAGGTGGAGGGACGTTCGCATTTTCGTCGCGGGAGAGGGATTCATATTGAAGAAAATTCCCTTATCATCATAAGGTGTCCACTTTTTGTCTCCACCTGGGATGTTACTGGGATTTTCGATGAGGGAATTGTATAGCAGGAAAGGTGAGGTGGAAAGTTCAACGTTACATGGTTGGGGGAGGGGGGTCGTGCACGCGGCTGTGTGACTATGTTTGTCTGCGCTCTCCCAAATAAACCTTGGAGAGGGAAACGGACATAGAGGTGCTCTGGAGCAAACCAAAGCTATGCAGACTTGTTGAGGCTTTGAATTACGCTGAGGTAGGATGCGCCACTCCGAGAACAAAAACGCTGATTGTGGTGTGATCGATTAAAGGAACGAAACGAATTGTGCATTATAACTTTCATAAACTCCACTGCTGGTGGTTCAAGGTTTTTTTTGCTCAATACTTTGTACAAGTGCACAGAATTACCGTCAAAATGCAGAAGAGTCACAACAAGCCATTATATATGAGCCTCCCTCCTTGTCTGATATTACCTTCGTTCGATTTTGAACACTCATGATGAGTTCATGTTTTTGCTAATCGTTCAGAATGCATTCGTGCGCTTCGGCAGCTATTACAGCGTTTTGAGCAACCGGAGCAGTATAGGTATCGATCGATTGTTTCGAGTGTCCATCACCGCCAGCATTTTCAATAAAAAATCGATACCTATGCTTCCGAGTCACTCAAAAACCTAACGCAAAGTACGAGCGCACTCTAAGCAAAGTTCCAACTAACTAATTCATTTTCATTTCTATACGAAAACCAATTTTAGTGCTGCCGAGCCGTCGTCGGGCCTTTCGTCGCTTGTGTCGAACCTAATTGTGATTGCAGGCGTCGTGGTGCTTGCGTTTGCAGTTAGATATATGATCCATGCTGCACAAGAGCAAGATTCGCATTACAAATAGCTCTAATAATTTGTGCGTGTACGTATTATTCGAATACTGTTTTCAGATTATTTTCTAGATTTTCTTAAGAGTTTCCATGAAAAGGTATGCTCCTCTTCACCGCTAGGTAGCCCATTATATGATCCTGTTGTATGTAAAGTATCAGATATATGACCGCTTTGTGAATCAGCATGTTGTCGTTGGGTTCTATTCGTTCATTTTTTTTCTGCCTATCATTGAGTAGTGTGGTATTCCAGTCGGATATGTGATAACTGGTGTTTCTTCCACTGTCTGCCCTAGTCTACGTAGTTTTGCTCGTTTGCTTGAGCCGCTCTATCGATTTGGTCCTGCTTTGTAGGGAGATATGTGACAAGACAATCGTTATATGCCGCGCAGGGTGGGCGTGGCAAGCGACGCCGCACCCGACGGACGAGTGCTGCCGGACCATTCGTGTTTGAGTGTTAAGGAACGGAAAAACTGTACTGCTATGCATAGAGTCTTGTATCTGCTGGGAGTTGCCCAATTAATTTTCCACGCATGGCCGCACTTCACGTCGCGCGCGGCAACACGGGAAATTACGATTGTCTTGCCCGTCTCGCTTGTAGGGCACTTGGGTCCGCGGTGTATTTTGTAGTTGGGCTTGATCTCTGGATGGCTCTATTTACTTGGTGGGGAAGGGAGTTTGCAGAGCAGGAAGGGTAACCTTCTCATTTGTGCTGAACGGTTTATTGAGGGGTTCTTGGGAGGTTTTCTTCGATAGCGCTTATGAAGTAAAAGATTTTTGGCGAGATTTCGGGAGGCGATTTCGTGATGTCCAGTCGCTGGGTATGTTGTCGCATTTTATTTTATGGAGGAGGGCTGGTTCCTGTCCTTAGAGAGTGTATACAGTCTTGTTTGCTGCAGGTGCTGGGACGTGCCAGGGATATGGCGCCTAGCCAGCCCGTTTCTCACCAATTATTGGAACGGAGCCGAAGATAACAATTGAGCGAGCGCAGCATCAAACCCGGGCCCTTCCCTGACACGCTTCAGCATCCGCAGCGAAAGAACGTACGTCATATGAAAAAATCAAACGAAAGACTGTAGTTACCTAGATTTGGGTAAAGGATATTTCGGCAAGGCTATCCAGCCCTTTCATATTAATTGTAGAAAGATCCCTCATCTGATTATTCCGGTGACCTAGATGTGAACGAGGAGGACACTGATTGGGAAATAGACATGTTGAAAAGGAGATTATTAGTGTTCACTTGGAAAAAAGTCTGATAAGTATTTTCTTATCTAGTGAGAGAGAGTAATCAAAACCTCTTGAAGGCGGTGTTGTGGTGGTTTTTGAATGGTGAGCCGTGTAGAAACGATGTTTTGGGTATTGAGAAATAACTTTATGTATGTAATATTCGATACTGGACACCACAAATTCGGTACACAATGATGTGTACAGTCGGATGTAATGACACACCTTTGTTTCAGTTCTTCATTGTCTTGCCGTCGTACGGTTTTGGTGATGCCTCTGAAATATCCTCGTTCGTTCCATCGCTTTGTGTGTGCTAAATAGCTTCATTTAAAACATGAATGACTGATGATGAGATGTATTGCTGTTCTTATTAGCGTTCCCCTAAAAAATACTAGTACCGTGTATGTATTCACTGATAAATGAATAATTGAATCATGTGATCAAATTATACTGGATATCGATAACAATAAAATTTTAGCATCGATTTTGATTATTACTGCGGTTGGATTGTGTAAGTGAATCAAAAGACATTACCTTTGCTCAGTTTATAAATATGTACGTGTTCATAATCTGTTGAGGAAATTCATCCATTAGACAGCGTTCAGACTTTGTTATCGCGCGACTGAATCGTGATCTCGACCTGGGGCGCTCCATCGCCAAACGGTGCACCGTCGCAGCTACAGGATTTTAACTGGGTCGCATTAAACTGTGCCAGTTGGAATTGTGTCGTTGCGGCGGTTGGGCAGTGGAGCGCCCTTGGTGGGTCGAGCGATCCGATCACGCGAGCGCGAAGTCTGAACGCGATCTTAGTTGACAATGTCGCAGTCAGTCAGGGCGGTGGCAAGAGTGGCTGAATGAGCTCGCCTCTGGCTGCATTGCTCTACCAGTGGTGGTCGATTAGGCAGCGTTCAGACATCGCAAGGATAGCGCTTCAATCGCGCGTTCCACGCGATTGATGCAGTCGGAAACATGCGTATCGAACGCGCGACTGATGCGCTCCCGTCGCGAAGTCTGAACGCTGCCTTAGCGATGCTATGGGCGGAGATGTTCAGCAATTACAGCTTTATCTCAGTGCTCCTCTCTCCGTT